AGCGTTTCCTTTTTCGAAGCTTCTTTGCATTAGAAGCGCGTAATTCGTGGATTTCTTCACGTGCAAGAATAAGCTCATTAAGATGTAATTCATGACCTTTAATAAGCTTATCAAACCGCGCCTCTAGCGAAGATGAAGGACTCTGCGTACGCGCTCTAAGTAGCTGCTTCACAGTAGATGCCTGCTTTTCAAGCTGCCTAGTTGTATAAGGCGTTTTTGGAGCTGTATTGGTTGATCGACTGCCTGGTGGCGTAGGGGTCTTTAGCTGAATATTCAGCTGACTGAGTACCCTGTCTGGATTGAATGGAACTAGGCCAGCACCTGCGAAGCTATTCTGAATAGTATCTGTTTGAAAAGCGCGTTTGCGAGCTTGTGGAAAGGCCTCTAGGAAATCAAGCTTGTCGATATGGTTGATTCCTAAGCGTGCCTGCTTCTCTACTAAGCTGCCGTACGCCCGCTTTAAAGGCGAGAAGCAGCCAACATCTAGAGGCTGTAGTAGATGTGATGAATGTGCAGGCATGCAGATAGGAATAATATTATTCTCACTGCATATCTGGTCGAATTGAGGTGTAAGATGGCTGCTATGGCCGTCGAGAATTAGAAGACGATATCCCCCAGTTGTATGACTAGTAGTAGCAGGAATAAAGAGGTTTTGAAGCCAGCGAAGGCCTATCTCGTCCGTAGTCCATCCATTAGGACTAACCTCAATCCTGCTATCGCGTGGGAGTTTGATATCTTGATACCAACCCTCTATATGGACCTTTCCTTTAAAGATCACACATGGAGGAAGCGCCCAACCAGTAGAGTTAATACACTCGATTGAAGTAACCCATTCTCGATTGCCTGGTTGTACAAGAGAGGCCTTTCCGTAGTAATCAGCTCTAGTAACTACTTGAGCAGTAGCTACTAGGCCCATAGCGAAGCCAGTTTCGTCAAAATTATAGATATCTTCTTGTGCGATCCCGTGTTGCATTATAGTGATTTGTACGCGATCAAACCACTCCCTAATAACTTTAGGGTCTTCGCATTTAGCGCGCCGATAATCATAACGTTGAGTATAGCGAGTTTTCAAGCGATCTTGTCGTTTAATAAAGTTGTATACCCATTTCTCCCCGACTGATTGGATTGGTGTAGTACCACGCTGAGCGAGTAGAATATTGGCCATTTCTCGTATATGAGAGGGTCGGGGAGGCGCTCCACGTCGATCTAGCGATAGAATCCATTGTACGAGCGATTCCTCTTCATTTTGAGTCATTTTATGATTATTGGCGCGTATTTCTGCACGTGTAGTAATACCATGAAGTCGCCTGCGGATAGTTCTCTCAGCAACATTATAAACACGAGCTGCTTCACGAATACTGCAAATTTCTGAATTTTTTACAGCAGAGACTGCTAGTAGGACTCTTCCTTCCTTTTCGATTAAATCTCTTGGATTTTGACGCGCTTTTGGAGGCATGGTTAGTGGTTGAAATGAGCGAGGTGTTTGACCGCGATCAAAATTTAGGAGGTGCGGCGCTCGCTTACGTGCGGCGCTCGCTTACCGGATACGTTATAGAGATACAGCGTAAGTAAGTCGGGATGTCTATAGTACCTAGAGTAGATAAGCATCGCGAAATCCCGGGATATCACGTGGTCTGCATCTGTGGCCTCTCCGGTCTGCCGTAAACAAATTTCGCCGTCGCCATCTCCGCAAAAAGTCCGGGGATGCGATAGTCGGTCCGTCATCTTCAACCTCCATAACACCCACGAGCGTGTTCCGCAGCTCTCCCTCGGACTCCGTCCCCACCTCATCCCCGTCGAGCTCCATCAGCAAGCACACCACCTATACGCCATGAACGTCCCAGGAATGAGCGCGCCGATGGGCGGCCTCGGAGGAGCCGGCGCAGCAGGTCCCAACACGGCCGGCATGAGCGAGCAAGAGCAAGCCATGGTGAAGATGGTATTTCCCCTCGCTCCTCACCCCTCATCATCTTCCCTCAATCTGGCTAACACAGTGAAACAGATGTACGGTGCCATGGAATCCTGTCCCATGAAGACCGTCATCTCCGGTACCATGGGTTTCGGTCTGGGAGGTGTCTTCGGTCTCTTCATGGCCAGTGTACGTTCCCCTGCCCTTCTGCTCTCCCTGCCTCCCATCCAATCCCTCTCTAACACCGCTATGATATACTGCAGATGTCCTACGACTCCACCTTCACCCCCCAAGGCAAAGCCATCGCCGACCTCCCCTGGAAGGAACAAGTCCGCCGCGGTTTCAAGGACATGGGTTCACGGTCGTGGTCCAGCGCCAAGAACTTCGGCATTGTGGGTGCTCTGTACTCGGGCACCGAGTGCTGTGTTGAGGGGCTGCGCGCCAAAAACGATCTCACTAATAGTGTGGCGGCGGGATGCATTACGGGTGGTATTCTTGGTGCGAAGGCGGGCCCGCAGGCTGCTGCTGCGGGGTGTGCGGGTTTTGCAGCTTTTAGTGCGGCGATTGATGCGTATATGAGGATGCCGGAGAAGGATGATTAGGTGGTTTTTTTTTTTTTGGAGGTGTGGTTCATGGGTGGCGTTTTTGTTTGGGATGGTGCATTGCTTATGGAGTTGGGTTTGTGTTTTTGTTTGAATTGGGTTTCTTATAATAGAGCTTGTTGGGGGATGCTGGGGGTCTTACTCAACTCAGTTGTATATTATTGTATAGATAGAGTTAGATCGGAGAGTATAGTACTAAAGTTTATTTTGGGTCTAAATGCTTGAATTAGCATGCAGGGCAGATAATATATAGACTGACCTCAGAGGGGTGATCATATACCTATAAGGTCTAGACTCAGCCATTGTCTGTGGTATGATAGCTAGTACACATCTGGCCATTGCAATTGCGAATCAAAACAATCAAAAGTTGCAGGAGGATGTAGTAGTCCACGAAGAGGATTGATTAAAGAAATGAGTGCTAATCGGAGATATTTGGTCAGGATGCAGATCCAGTAATAATCTAAGAATGTAGATTAGGTTTCACAATGTAGATTGCTTCTTACACCTTGGGAGCATCTATTTAATACCCTTGTTCCCCCACAAATACTCCTACTCACACAAGGAGACTACTACATGATCAAGATGACCCCCCAGAAACAGCCTCAATATAAAGCCATCATCTTCGATCTAGGAGGTGTACTGTTCACATGGGAACCATCAAAAGATATCTTAATAACCCCTATACTTCTGCAGAGCATACTCTCTTCACAAATCTGGCATGACTATAAACGAGGAACCCTAACCCAAGAAGATTGTTACCAAGCATTAGCCACTCAATTCAGCATTGACGTGTCAGAAATTGCCCTGACCTTCAATCAACCTCGCCAAAGCCTTACCACCAATCTCGCCGGCATGACCCTCATATTGGAAATGAACACTATCGTTCCCAAAATCGCAGTGTATGCCATATCCAAACCAGACGATGCAGTCCTCCTGCAGACCAATCCGAAGGCATGCATTTTCGACCGTATATTCCCATCCGGACTACACAGCGCACGCAAACCACAACTAGGCTTCTATCAAAAAGTCCTAGATGAGGTGAGAATTCCACCTGAGCAAATCATCTTCATCGACAATCAGCTAGGCAACATCATATCTGCCCAGTCAATCGGCATGCACAGTATCCTCTACACGCAACCCTCACTCCTCAGCCAGAATCTCAAAAACTCGATTCTAGACCCCGTACAAAGAGGAATGGAATATCTCCGTCGCCATGCAAAAGCCCTCCATAGCACGGTAGATGATGGTCAAGTCGTTCTGGAGAATTTCTCGCAACTTTTGATTCTCGAGGCTACGGGTGATGAGTATGATATATCCTGCAAGTTCAAATATAATAATGATACTAATATTCCGGCATCGTGTCCAGAACGCTCATCTCCCTCAAACACCACGAATCAACCTGGAACTTCTTCCAAGGTGAATATACATACCCCCCTCCATCTCTCCAACACAAACCCTAACACAAACACAAACAAATCAGGCCCACCCACCTTCACAACCTCCACCTTCCCCGACGACGTCGACACCACCTCCCTAGCATGGCTTATCCTCCCCGCCCCGAAACCAATGATATCTGCCCTGCTCGACAGAATCACCACATCCCTAGTAAACGAAGATGGCATCGTCACGGTACGTCCTTCCCCAACCCTACCCCAACCCCCAAAACCAACACCAATACCCATACTATCAACAGACATACTTCACCCCCCACCGCCCCCGAACCGACCCCGTCGTCTGCACCAACGTCCTCCGCCTCCTCCACAAATACAACTACAATTACAACACCACCCTCCCCTCCACATTGCACTACATCCACACCACCCTCCACCATCGAACCTACCTCCACGGAACAAGATACTACCCCACCCCCGAAAGCTTCCTCTACGCCGTGAGCCAGTTATGTGCTCAGGACCCGTCTCTCACCTCTTTGAAAGAAGTCCTAGTGGAGAGACTCCAAGAAAGGATGAATGTAGAAGTAGATGCCCTCGCGCTCGGGATGCGTATCTTGGCGTGTTTGAGTATGGGGTTTACGCGGGGTGAGGTCGAGGGGGAAGTGGAGGAGTTGGTGTTGAGGCAGTGCGAGGATGGATCTTGGCCTGCGGGGTTGTTTTGTCGGTTTGGGGTGTCGGGCGTGGGCATGTGGAATCGGGGGTTGGGGACTGCGGTTGGGGTTAGGGTTTTGAGGGTTTATAGTGTCTAGAATCTAGATTGTGGAGTGAGAGGGTGGGTTGGTGATTGGGGTCGGGGGTTAAGGATTGATTTGGACGGGTTTGTGCTTGTGCTTGTGCTTGTGCTTGTGCTTGTGCTGTATTGTATGTGGTATGTATGGTGCTTGGGTTTTATGTTATGGGTGTTTGTTATATAGGTATGGGAATAGTAGTATAAGGAAGGGTTTATCGAGTTGGATATTTTGGGTGGTTATTTTGGATGATGGGTTGGCGGTGAGGGTTGGATAGGGTCATCATCGTTATCTATTCACAACGTTTTAATATCATACATACTCACGAGCAACCTAAGGCAGCACAATGTAGCGCTCCAGGTGCTTAGGGATCGCGCCACGAAGTCCCTTCATCTCCAGCCACGACTTCGAGAACAGCCGGTCTGCGTACCGGTACGCACCGTCGCACAGAATTGTCACCACCGTGTGTCCCTTGCCCAGCTTCTTCGCCACTTCCTGCGCGGCCACCACGTTCAACGCAGAGCTGGCCCCCAGGTAGAGTCCCTCCTCGTCCAAACAGCGGTACACCATCTCGATCGACTTCTCGTCCGGAATGTTCAGCGATCCGTCCAGCAGACCAACGTCCGGCTGCAGGTTGTCCGTGACTCGACCCTGGCCGATGCCCTCCGTGATACTGCTGCCCGTGCGGTCGATCAGGTTGCCGCCGCTCTGGATGTAGCTGTGCAGCACACTGCCCGGGGGATCGGCGAGGAAGCTCTTGACTTTGCCGTCGCTGACGGTCTTCAGGTAGCGCGTAATGCCAGCCAGGGTGCCGCCGGTGCCCGTGGCGCAGGTAAAGGCGTCGACCTGTCCGTTGGTCTGGGCCCAGATCTCCGGACCGGTCGTCTCGATATGTGCCTGACGGTTAGCGGTGTTGTCGAACTGGTTGGTCCAGACGGCATTGTCCAGCGACTCGGCGTGGCGGCGTGCCTGGTGGTTGTAGTTCTGCGGGTTGTCGAAGGCGACGGCGGGGACGGGGTACACCTCCGCACCGAGCAGGCGCAAGAGGTCAATCTTGCCCTGAGACTGAGTGTTGGGCATGTAGATGACGAGCTTGTAGCCCTTGGAGCGGCAGACGTGTGCGAGACCAATTCCGGTATTTCCTGCGGTTCCTTCGACCACGGTACCGCCGGGTCTCAGGAGGCCCTTCCGCTCCGCATCCTCGACGACGAACAGAGCAGCTCGGTCCTTGACACTTCCTCCGGGGTTCTGGAACTCGGCCTTTCCGAGAATGTTGCAGCCGGTTTCGTCGGAGAGCTTCTTAAGGCGGATGAGGGGGGTGTTGCCGATGGCTGTGAGGGGTTAGTATGCGGCTGTAGGCGGGCATGGCAGAGAAGCTGCATACCTTCCGTGAGGCCGTTGACGAAGCCCTGTGCTTTGGACACGCGGACATTGTAAGAGGTTCCCTCCGCTGCGCGAAGGGCAGTCGTGCCAAACCGCCGGATGCTCTGGCGGAACATGCTGTCAATTGCTCGCTAATATCACAACCAGAACGCCTGGAGAATGGGCAGAGTAACACCCGCGAACCCCGAATCTCAGATGCCGATGGTCGGCGTTAGTCATCTCCATCACGTGGTCGATGGCGTGATTGCTCATGCTGCTCATTGAGGTGAAGGAGCTGGACGGGCACTTGGATTAATGCGATGGCACGGCATTATTGGCTGTTGATGGAAACAGTGAGACCATGAGAAGCCAAGAACAATGACATCACTCTTCTGTGAGCTCTTGACCCAAGATCAAGTTGGTCCCTGTAGGTAATAATGTTAGTACTATGTAGAAAATAGCTGTATCACGTGCAGCCCTAGCCCTTATCGGGCTTCCCGTTTGGGCTGTTTGTTTATCCTGCCCCGTGACACCTCCGCAATGTTTGGATCGGCCAGCAACCGTCTTTGTCTTCAACCCCTCCAGACTTGACAGACGCCAAACACCCCGCGGACGGACGATACGCCTGGATTTATCAATGCCACCGATTTAGGATGATTTTTGACGATTTTTGACTCCATACCCCTTACTGAGCTGTCTGAGACGATACCCCACCCCACCATTGAGCCACCATGCCTGGCCGATCCGCCCGTTCAACTTCCACCGCCACGCGCAAACCCTCCGCGCAGCCCTCGCGCGCTGGATCTGTGACGCCTTCGTTCGCTATACCCGAGGAGCCCGCGCTGCCCGAGGCTCTTCCCAATCTGCGCCGCGATGTTTGCTCCATCTTCGCCGATGCCCAGCGCTCTACGACCGGTCATCGGAAACTCGCCGTGCGACTAAGAAAGCTCCAAGAAGCCTGCTGCGGCATACCCCAGCAGACGTCCAAGAAGGATGGCAAGAAGGCTCAACCAGAGCTGTTGCTTCCATCCGAAGAGACTCTGCCAGAGAAGGAATTCAACGTGGAAGTCAGCCGCTGTGCCCTCCGCATTCTCCCTATCAAGAAATCAGAGCCTGTCGGCGACCGCCTCCTGCGCTTTCTCGGCGCGTTCCTGACGCAGGCTTCCGAGAAGGATGCGGAGCTTTTTGCCATGGACGAAGAAGAAGACGATATGGAAAACTCCCCCGGGACACCAACTGCTCGCTTGACGACCAGTCTGATCAATTTGGTCATTCCCCTGCTGGCCACGAAAGACAAAACGGTCCGCTTCCGCGCCACTCAGATCATTGCCCACATTGTCAACTCTTTGGAAACGATAGACGACGACCAATATCGTGCGATCCGCGGAGGCCTCTTGAAGCGCATCAGAGACAAAGAGCCTGCCGTGAGAGTGCAGGCTGTGATGGGATTAGGCCGCCTCGCGGGCAACGAGGACGACGACAACGATGAAAGCAAGGCTCTTCTCGAGCGACTCATTGACATCATGCAGAACGATACGAGTGCCGATGTGCGAAAGACGCTGCTTATCAACCTGCCTCTCGTGCCCGGAACCCTGAAATACCTCCTTGAACGAGCCCGTGATCTTGACGCAGGCACTCGACGGGCCCTGTATTCACGCCTTCTCCCCAGCCTCGGTGACTTCCGACATCTCTCGCTGTCTATGAGGGAGAAATTGCTTCGGTGGGGTCTCCGTGATCGAGACGAGAGCGTGAGAAAGGCCACTGGCAAGCTGTTCTTCGACCGCTGGGTCGAAGACTGCGCTGGCACCAACAACGACCCCGAAGCCGGTCCGGTTGGTCAACGCTCTCCACCCAACACATCCGCGCTTCTAGAGCTTCTAGAGAGAATCGATGTGGTCAACTCCGGTGTGGAGTCTGGAATTGCACATGAGGCCATGCGCAGCTTCTGGGAAGGCCGTCCTGACTACCGCGAGGCTGTCGTCTTCGACGAGCCTTTCTGGGAGTCTCTCACAGCAGAATCCGCTTTCCTGATCCGCTCTTTCAGCGACTTCTGCCGTGTTGAGCATGAAGGCAAGTATGATAAGCTTGCGGACGAGAAGATACCCGAGGTCACGGCTCTTGCGTTCTACCTACACAAGTACATGACCGACCTCTTGCAGCGGAAGAAGGTTTCCAAGGACACCGGCGATGCCAATGATGATGAGACTGTGGAGCAGGAATTTGTGGTTGAACAACTGCTGCATATCTCCATGACGCTGGACTACAGTGACGAAGTCGGACGACGCAAGATGTTCTCCCTACTCCGCGAGTCGCTGGCCGTTCCTGAACTTCCCCAGGAATGCACCAGGCTCGCGGTCGAGACCCTGCGGTGTGTTTGCGGCCCCAACGCCGCAGCGGAGTCCGAGTTCTGCAGTGTTGTCCTGGAAGCCATTGCTGAGGTCCACGACACCATTGTTACTGAAGACAGTTTTGTGTCTGCCAGGTCCGAAATCAGCGACGCTAGCTCCACTCGTCACCGATCTGAAACCCCCCAAACCGAGGACGAAAAGCCTTTCAACAAAGAGGAGGCCAAAGCGAAGGTCCTGAAGGAGATTGTGATCAATATGAAGTGTCTGTACATTGCCCAGTGCATGCTGCAGAATGTAGAGGGCAACCTGCAGGCCAACATAAACTTGGTGACCATGCTGAATAACCTCGTCGTGCCTGCCGTTCGCAGTCACGAAGCTCCCATCCGTGAGAGAGGTCTTGAGTGCTTGGGACTTTGCTGTCTGTTAGACAAGGTGAGAACCTCGCCCCATGCCTACTACGCCCTACTAATGACTTTCTCTTAGAATTTGGCCGAGGAAAACATGACCCTTTTCATCCACTGCTACAGCAAGGGCCACGAGGCCCTGCAGGTGACTGCCATCCATATCTTGTGTGATATGCTGACAACGCATCCCACCTTGCTCGTACCTGTGGTTCAGGCGGACGGCGAGATGGTGGCCCCACCAGTGTTCCAGAAGCCATTGCTGAAGGTCTTTGCACGATCGCTCAAGTCCAGCTCGCCCAACAGTGTTCAGACAGCTGCTGCTACAGCCCTCTCGAAATTGTTGCTTACGAACACATTCACGCCCTCGGGACCGAATATTCCCCAGGCTATCCAGGAATACAACCAGACTGCCATCGAGACACTCCTGCAGTCACTCGTGCTCTCCTTTTTCCACCCTCGTACTCGGGACAATCCCGCACTGCGACAGTCTTTGGCCTACTTCTTCCCTGTGTATTGTCATTCAAGAGTGGAGAACACACAACACATGCGCAAGGTTGCGGTTCCACTGGTTCGGGCAACCCTGAACGCGGCGGAAGAATACTACTCACTCGAAGCCGAGGAAGACAGCGACGGCGACATCGACGAGACTGTCGGCCAGAGAGAACTGAAGGCGTTGATGGCCGGCGTTGTGGGTATGCTGGGTGAGTGGACTGACGAGCGGCGGGTCGTTGGGCTAGGCGGAGAACGGGTTCTGGCGGGTGGACCGGCCAGCTCCAATGCTTGTGGGTTCGTCCACCTGGCCCTGGTCAAGGACATCTTAGAGCGTGTTCTAGGGATCAGTACCGGCACCAACCGCTGCTCCAAGGAAGAGAAGAAACTCCTCTTCTCGCTCCTGAGCAAGCTCTACATCGCCCCACCCACGGTGCCCTCACGGTCAGGATCTCGTAACCCCGAAGGCGACGATCCATTCCGGTCCAGCGTCCGTAGTGCCCAGGGTGAAATTACGCTGGAGAATACGGAACTAGCCAAGGAGGTTAAAGAACTGCTGGATGAGACGATCGAGGAAGGTCTCGCCGCCGAGGCCGCTGGGCGAAATGCCCTGGTCAAGGTCAAGAACGCGGTTCTCAAGCTCTTGGCAGCCGCTCACGGCGGACGCCCAGCCAGCGCGCGGACTCGGGAGGGCATGGAAGAAGGCGATAGCGATGTGACGAGTGTACGGTCGATGAGCGTTCGGTCAGGCAGTGTGCGGCCGTCCATTGAACCCGGGCTCATGCGCCGGGGCTTCTCCTTAGAGCCGAGTATTATCGAGGAGGAGGATGAAAATGAGGACAGCCGGACAACGATAGTCAAGTCTGAGGCTCACGATGAGGAGTAATGTGGACATGGATTCGGTTGGCGTTCGAGGATGGCTTGGTTTGGTGCGTAATGGTTGGCTAGCACTGGGACGGTCGTGTATTTAGGTGTTTGGGTACAAGTGTACATGATGTTTTAATGGTCACTTCTCGATGACTCTTCATGGGGTGCATTGGATACTGCGGAGGTGCGCCGGGACGGTCCTGCTGGGCCTGGTGCCGGGAGGACCGTGTGATCTGGAACGTGAACGAAGCCGTAGCCTGCCGGCGCGCGCTAGTGGGAGTTTAGACAGGGATTATTGAAGCGGGAAGGGATGGGCAGTGTCATGGCCTGATATGGATGGCGCGTGGTGATAAGCGTGTCCGTCCACGGGATTGGAAAATGTCGCACTCGCAGGGGAGGCCGTCAGCACTCAGCAGCCCTGGCCCTCACTAGTGATACCCATTCTCCCGACTCCATGATCCTGGCTCGATTAGTACTAGTCCATTGGTACTAGGATGGCCATTACAGTCCATCACAATCTCATATCAACATTTGATTGCAAAGCACAACAAATCTGCTCCGTGGATTGCTTGAAGGGACCGACCCAAGATTACCGCCGTGGTAATACCCGGGCAGGCCCAATCACGATGCAGGGAGCGGGCACTGGCTCCTCAGGCCGGGCGGTCCTTCGGATGCGAGACCGGCGGATAGTGGAGCCCTCCACGCCCTCCCCGCCCGCCATTGGCCAGCGTCGCAGGAACCTCCACGGCGTCGCGTTTTTTTCCTTCTGTCCTGTGCTGGGCTGGCTGGTTGGTGTTGCTCGCCGGTGGAACAGACAGCACCAACTCCCGATCGAATAATAATCAATTGACTTTGCTTTGACATTCGGCGATGTCTGTCTGGCACATGGCCAGTCAGGCTATTGCCACGGGGCGCCCATGTCATCCTCACTGGCTGCATCCTATCGCACTGGCTGCCTGGGGAAAATATATCCAGGGTTTAAGGTTAATGGGAATGGATCAGCTTGAGTCGAGCTCCTGGCGGTGCGTGCCGGGTCGGAGATACCGTCAGACAGAAGTACGGTTTCACTCCCGATATTCCCCTTCTGCCTGGGGTCCGTCACGCCTGTCAGAGTGTCAGGTATTATTGTTGAGGGGGTCAGCTTCGAGGGCAGGTCTGTCCAAGCCCAATTCAATGGGCTCGAGCGTGTTCATTGGCTCTGGGGATGGTTCGTCGATTGACAGGTGGTGTGGATAATGGATTGATGGATAGATGGACGGTTGGGGTTCCCGGTCCATATGTCGATGGATGCCAGTACCAGTCGTAGTTCTGTTAAAATTGGCGGCCTCTCTGCCTCTCTTTGTCTATTGTAGATAATCCATTTGATCTAAGGGCCGGTGATGGAATGGATGTCGCTGATGGTGAATCGATCGGTTCAGACGGTACCGACCTGTCATACAATACGGCGTATCCAGGCGGAACCCGGCGATGGTCTGGGATGTATCGACCAGCACGACCCTCAGGAGGGATTCGTCCAGACCAGGAGAATGCCCGGAAACAAAGCCGGAAGGACTGGAGGGAGAGCGTGCAGGGAATTGAGCGTGATGATGATGATGATGAGAAGGAATCCCAGCAGCCCCCGTAGCAGGTGAACCATAGACGCCGGGGATTTGGGCCATGCCCTCGAGGCCGAAACTTTTCTTTTAATCTCGACGCTCCACCACCACCAGCGAACTCGTCCGTCCTGCTTCTTCCCATCCTGGCCTTGGGACTTTCTTTTTCCTTCTTTCCCTTCCCTCGTCCTTCTTCCCTTCTCCTCTCCTCCCCTCCTCCTCCTCCTTCTCCTCCCTCTTTCCCCCCCCGTGATCTCTTTTCCCCTCCTATTCACGACGGTCTCTTTCTTCCCCTCCTCCCCAGTCGTGAAGCCGTGTCGCCTGCTGTCCCCTGCAGAGACACGTTTTTTCCTTTCTCCGACCCGTCCCTTTTCCTTCCTCCTCCTTCCTCTCCTCCTCCTCCACCCCCCCCCTACCGCTCCGTTGGCGTGAGAACCAGCCAGCGTTTAAGAGACCGTGAGCGATGGCCGTTTCAGCTCCCACCCCGAAGCTGGATCGCTACATTGTTATCCACGTCGCGACCACTTGCGACGAACATGGAGTCTACGTCACCAAGGACTCGGCGGAGGTGATTGAGCTGGGGTGGATCTTGCTGGATACTAAAACCTGCGAAGAGGTGGGCATTATTTGATTCTCGTTCATTCATTCATCCAGCCTTCCCCTCCTCTGCTCGGACGATTATCCGTCGGGCGTTCATCATTCCTCTGAACTCAGACCTCCGCCCACAATTTCTATCCATTGCCATTCGCTAACTCGGCTGCCTTCCTCGGCTTAGTTGCACCATGAGAGCGTCCTCGTCAAGCCCGTCAACACCCCGATCACGCCTCTTTGCAGTAAGTGCACCCTGTCGACCTCAGCCTGCCTAATCACCAATTCCTTACCTTCTCCTTCCCGTCCCTCCATCCGTTCCCCGTGCCCGTCCGTCCCCTGGTTCAATGGCTGACGGTCTTTGAAAGCGAGCCTGACGACTCTGACATGGGAACACGTCCGCTCGGCAGGCACTTTCCGCGATGCCATCAATCGGTTCGACGCTTTCGCCCAGGAGCACCTTATCAGCAAAAACCTGGAGTTCGCCTTCGTGACGCTGGATTCATGGGATCTTCGTGTGCAGCTGCCTCGTGAGGCTCGAGACAAGGCCGTGGTGCTTCCTGCATACCTCCAGCACTCCCGGACATTCGACCTCCGCACCGAATATCAGCGCTGGCAGACTCACCACCCGGAGTCGCTGCCCTTCGGACCTAGCTCTCTCTCCAACATCTGTGCCGCTCTCGAAGTCGAGCCCGTCCAGTCCTCCGCCCCTATCAAGCACAACCTTCCCTTCCACCTGCAGGCTCTGGCCCCCGCATCTCCCCGCCGGGCCATGGAGGAGGCCATCACACTGGCTAGGGTGCTGCGCGGCTTGATTCGGAAGTCTCAGCCCCCCCATGAGCACCCCGAGATCTTAACCCGGCCCATGGATGCCCGGGCTGACGTTCGTGCCTTCCTGACCGAGCGCAGCAAGGTTCTTCATTTGAGCGGGCTTCCCCATGATACCACGCAGTCGGAGTTGGAGAGCTGGTTCACTCAGTTCGGTGGCCGCCCGATCGCCTTTTGGACCCTCCGTACTCCCGACCAACACAAGCCTACTGGCACCGGCTTCGCGGTTTTCTCGTCCCATGAAGAGGTATGTAATAGCCTGTTCGCCCCTTTCTGTTTTTATCCCCGAGCTGGATATCTAACGTGACCCTGCAGGCTGCCGAGAGTCTCTGCATGAATGGTCGTGCCCTCAACGAAAAGGCTATCGAGGTCTCTCCTTCGTCCAGCCGTGTCCTTGACCGTGCCGCTGAGATCCTCACACCATTCCCCCCCTCGAAGAACCGTCCCCGCCCTGGTGACTGGACTTGCCCCTCGTGTGGATTCTCTAATTTCCAGCGCCGCACGGCATGCTTCCGTTGCTCGTTCCCCGCTATGGCAGCTGCCCCTGACCCGATGGGATACGGGGCCTACGGCTACGGCCCCCCGTCGATGATGCCTCCTCACATGGGTCACGGCCACGGAATGGGCCATTCCCGGGGCATGGGAGGCAACGGTGGTGTGGTGCCCTTCCGTGCTGGTGACTGGAAATGTGGCTCCGAGGGCTGCGGCTACCACAACTTCGCCAAGAACATCAACTGCCTGCGTTGCGGTGCTCCTCGGTCTGGGGCGGCAGTCGTCGCTGACTCGGCCTTCCCGTCTCCCATGGACCCTCCCTCGAGCTTCGGCATGGGTCCCAACTCCATGAGTAGCACCCCAGCACCCGGACCCTTTACGGCTTCGACTGGCAGCTTTGGCGGCTTTAGCCAGCAGTTCGCCGCGCCTCCCAACAACTACGCTTTGCCTTCCGGCTTGGGCAGTGCCCCGGCCGCCTATCCCCCCATGGGTCAGATGAACGCTGGTTATGGCTCCGCGAACGCTTCTCACTCCGCGGCCTCGTTCGCCAACCCGGCCGCTCAGGCTGCCTTTACGGGTGCCGATCACACTTCGTCCACCAGCGCTTCTAACGGCGCCTTCTACGGCAACGACGGATCGAGCGACCCCTTTGCCTTTCTCTCCACGGGCTTGGGAGGCCTGACGGTGGGAGAGGACGCCCACTCTCGCCGCAACGGTGCGGGTGCTAACAAGTCCCCGGCGTAAAGGCCGTGGAAGCCAAAGCTTCGGCCGGGGAGTTTTGCGATTTATTTTCTACGACGGTTCTCCCTGACGGTTTTTGTCCATATGGTGGTCTGGATATGTTGGTATATGCGACGGTTGGTATTCCGTTGATGCGCATTTGTATAAGGAATTCTGCAGTTCTGGTGCATAGGGTTGGGAGGAGCAGGCCGGTAGCGTGTCGTCGTTTCGTCCGATTTGATCCTTTCTGTTTTGCCTGGTCTCTCGCAGATTTGACGTCTGACCATTTTCGGTATGTCTTATTATTTACGTGTTTGCAAGCGATGTTTGAGGGCATAGAAGACCGTCCGGGCAGGTGGGCCCAGGCGGTCCTATCCACTTCTTCGTTTCGCGTTTGTTTTCTTCATGGAGCGGCATGGGCTTCGCGCCGTTCTCTCGTCCTGGGCACCTCTCCGGCGGAGGTTAGCTGGCTAGGACGGTTCGAGCATGGCATTGCATTCTAGATATTGTTTTTCTTTGGCTTTCCGAGTTCATCTGCGCGCTTCGACAATAGGGATCATTGGAGAATCACGGTATTGATCATGGTTGGGATACAATGGAACGGACTCTGTTGGGGGTGTTGGGGTATTCCTTTTGAGCCAGCAAAATTTCGACCAGCAGCGACGAATTTGGGACATCCGCGAGGCACATGGATTGGGAGTCGTGCGTGCGACAAGACTGTTCTGGGTGTCCATAATTCTTGTACTGTTCTTCATATTATTTACTGTTCGCGTCTTGTCTTTACACATACTTTCCCGCGGGCTTCGTCGTTCTGTCCCTCAAAAGTCGACACGTGATTATCTTTCACCAGTACAGCCTTTCAGCGTTGATGTACAGCATGGGCCGAGCGTCACTGGGCCGGGATCGGGGAGTCAAGGGCTGGGATGCAGGTTGCTTCGTGGGGTAGTTCTTTTGTATGCATCTGGAATCGTTATGTCTACTTGTGTGTGTTTGCTTGGTAAACCGGTTGAGTTGGGTGCAGGTACGGCCTGAAGCATGGTGTCCATGAAGCTGATGCCGTTAGAATTCCATGTACAGTGGACTGTGTTTTCTTTACAGTTCTTAGGCTAAGAATTCAATTCGTAGTTGTACTCTGTATACTGCCTGTTCTCTGCCACCCAACATGGAAGGCGGGCAGCGTCATGCGGCTAGCCGCGCGCCAAGCGCTTGGGAGCTCTCAAGGCGGGCCTCGCGTCCACCTCCATCTGTCATCGCCCGGACACCGGATCCCCAGCATTCTACGACCCAAGACTACGAATTGTATCTTTCTGACGCCTTTCTTGCTTCCTGACCCTTCTCTCAGTCTCCCTGCTTTTATTCACCCCCTACATTCCGCCTACTGCCCATAATGTCTGGATATGATCGAGCTCTTTCAGGTAAGACAGCTAGCTACTACCTTGGCTCCTGGCCTCGTTGATGAAGGGATTCTCGATGCTAACAGCTTCACAGTCTTCAGGTATGAACTTCCGACTTGATGAGCTCCAGAAACACTCCCTAACCCTCCTACAGCCCTGACGGGCACGTCTTCCAGGTGGAATACGCCATGGAAGCCGTCAAGAGAGGTACGTCTAACCGATCCGCACGAAACCACACCCCATCATACTCATCCACCCCTCCCGTCAACCAGGAACCTGCGCCGTCGGAGTGAAAGGCAAGGACGTTGTCGTTATCGGCTGCGAGAAGCGCTCCGCTCTGAAGCTCCAAGATACCCGCATCACACCCTCCAAGATCGCCGTGGTGGACAACCACGCCGTCCTGGCTTTCGCCGGTCTGAACGCCGACGCTCGTATCCTCATCGACAAGGCCCGCCTAGAAGCTCAGTCCCACCGTCTGACGGTCGAAGACCCCGTCACCATCGAATACATCACCAAATACATTGCCGGGGTACAGCAGCGGTACACGCAGAGTGGAGGTGTCCGACCCTTCGGTATCAGTACCCTGGTTGTTGGATTCGACCCGAATGATAAGACGCCGAGACTATACCAGACCGAGCCTTCGGGTATCTACTCTGCTTGGTGGGTTTTTCTATTCTGAGTATCGGGGGTTGGATTTTGGCTGACTGATGATGGAATATAGGAAAGCCAATGCTATCGGACGGTCCAGCAAGACGGTTCGCGAGTTCCTCGAACGCAACCACCAGGCTGATATGGACCGGGAACAGACCATCCAGCTGACCATCAAGTCGCTGCTGGAGGTCGTGCAGACCGGCGCGAAGAACATCGAGGTGGCCATCATGTCGCCCGGCCAGACGATCGAGATGCTGCCGGATGACCAGATCGAGTCGTACGTGAAGAACATAGAGACGGAGAAGCAGGAGGAGGCGGCCAAGAAGAAGACAGGTCGGGGCGGCACCACGACGGCGGCCATCCTAACACGGCCCGGTGGCGGCGAGGGCGAGAGCCGGGAGTAGGCGATCGGTGGATGCGATAAACTAGAGGGCTACGAGGGCTACGTCGAACTATGAGACTCGTGCGTGCTTATATCCGGTTAATATTCCAGGGATCTTGCAGAAGCGGTTGCTTTACGTCCTTTTTCACGAAAATAAACTCCTTTATACGGTAATCCACGGGGTCTCTGATCTGGATATATGGAGAAGGTCTAGGGGTGATATACAAGGTTAGAAAGGATGTAGTGCATGAGATCGTAAGTATCGTTCGTAAGCCGTCGGAAGGGGCGGCTAGCCCATGCGATCGGAGAGATCTTTGAAGTTGAAGATGGAGCGTTCCTGGTGCCCACGAACACGGTCGTCTTTGAGCATTCTACTGATTGTCAGTACAAGATATACAAAATAACGCGTGAACCCCGAAGCAGAGAAACCAACCTAGAATCCACACGCGCATCCTCGCCCTCCACCTGCAACGTAGGCGTCGGCGTAACCGCCTCGATCACAAAATGGTTATCGCAGTGCGGGCAGTACTCGTCACTAAAATTCCTCCCAAATCAGCCAAGCCCATCCAATAACCTAATGTTGATTTCCCCCCTTTCCTATGTTCGTACCCCTCGGGGACACCAAGTGGGGGTGGGGTGACGCACCTCTCATCAAACTCCGTCGCGTCTTTCCGGAAACACTTTTTGCACTTTTTGCAGGCGAAGACCTGTGACGTAGGTGGTTGTTTAGGGGGAAGCTTTGGTTTGGTTTATAAGGAGGGAGGAGAGAAGGGTACCATTTCGTTGGTTTTGGTGAGCGAGTGGGATTCTTGTTCTTGGTGGCATTCGGCGCAGTCGAACCATTTTTTGCCTGCGGGGGAAGAAAGGAACAGGGTTAGTTTGGATGAGGGGGCGGCT